CCCTAAAAATTAAAAACTTGCCCCGTTTTGCACAACCCCCCCCTTCCAGATCTGGTGGTGGTGGTGGGGAGGGGGGGTTGTTTGGGGTCACCCCTTTTTCCCATCCTCCAACAAGCAGAGTTGACTCCTGTGCCCCAAAGTGCCGCTCAGCGCCGCTCAAAGCCTTCCTCACTTCTGCCATCGGGTCAAAAGCCAAAGGGATTAAAACAAAACAAAACAAAACAAAAAATAACCCCAAAACCACCAAAATCCCAAAAGTTTCGCACAGCTCAGTGCGCACCCATTGATTCTTTTGGATGATTCCCGTTTCCTCCCCAGCAAGCAGCACGTCTCCGGGCGAGGAGGAGGAGGAAGGGAAGGATCAGGTGTCGCTTTAGGACCCAGCGGAGCCCCCATGTTGGAGGTAGGAGCTTTTTTTTTTCTCCCCCCCCCCTCTCATTTTGGAGTTTTTGAGCCTGGAGAGAAGAAACCAAAGCGTTGGGCAAAGGCGAGAGCAGCTCGGTGCACCCAGAGCGGTAAGGAGCCAGCAGAGCCCCAATCCTACACATCCATCCTCCTCAACTCCTCGATGACGGCCCCAACTTAGGGCCAAAAACCCATTTTTCGGGAGGGCTGAAACCCAATTTTTAGGGGGGGGCACGGAAGGTGGGAGTCTCACCAATGGCTTTGCCAATGTGCTTGGAGGATTTCCAATCGCAGCCCCCCAGGGACCCCCTTGGAGCTCATGGTGAGGACGTTCCCATCGGTTTTTCGGGCTCCGCAGCGGTGCTTTGGGGGGAGGGGGGGGACCCCATCTTTGGTGGAGACATCGCATCCCAGACAGCTGTTGTGGCGGCTTTGTCACTGCTTCAATCAATCTAAAAATACCCCGAAGTCTGAAGGAAGCTGGATTATTTCCTTTTTTTTTTTTTTTTTTTTCCCCCCCCCCCCCCCCCCCTTCTCCTTTTCTCCTGGAAACTGAAGGGATTTTTGCTTTGGTCCGGGTTTTATTTTATTTATATCCAAGGGGCACAGAGGAGGGGGAAAACCCTGATGGAAGAGCGGTGCGTGGGGAGGCGTGCAGAGAAGGGGGGATGGAGGGGGGGGGGGGGGGGGGGGGGGGGGGGGGGGGAGGGCGGGGGAAGGTGGGGTTTAGCAAAGGGAAAGGCTGTGGTGTTCTTTCTGCAGCCTGATTGTTCCCAGATGTGCATTGCAAAAACATCTGGCTCTGCAGAGCCAATAGACCCCCCCCACACACAGCCCCCCTACAGGGCACCCAATTTGGGGTTTGGTGAGGATGGAGCGGGGGTGTGAGGGTGCTGTGACCCCAACCCTATGCCTTCGGGTGGAAAATCCCAATGGTGGATATGGCTGCTGTTGAGCGGCTGCCGTGGTTTGCTGCTGAAATGGGATGTGTGGATGTGGTGGTGGCCTTCGTGGAGATGATGGGGTGTTGGCATCGTGTTCCCATCAAGGATGGGATGCCTGGTTCTGTGTGCGTGGAAGATCCCTCATGGGAAATTGGAACTAAAGGAAATTGGAGCACTGGGTCGGGGTGATTTGGGGTCCTGGCCAGCACCCAGCCCCCGAGGCTGGAGAAAGCCTTCTGGAGCTGCACGCTGATCCTGTTCATCCCCGTGCAATTCCTCGTAGCCCACACCTCGTGCGTCTGCTCCACTGGTGGTGGGAAGCAAGGCAGAGCAGGGCTGTGGGGCACAGGACCTGAGGTTCAGGGGCTGGGATGGAGCCCCCACTGCGACCCCCGAGGTCTGCCTGTTGGCCAAGTGTGGCTGTCCAACCTCACTTTGTGCCAATCCCAGCCCTCTGACACTCCCAAAGCCTGTAGGGGCTGGGAGTCAACATCTCCTGTACCTACAGACCTGGGGATGGAGGAGGATGGGGCCTCAGTTTCCCCTCTCAATCAGCGGGGTGGTGTCCCCATCCCATGCCACAGTGGTTCCTCCTGGATGGACAGAGGGTTGCATTTCCAATACTTCTATTGTACTCATTATTCTCTTTCCCAATTTTATTGTGTTTTCCCCCTGCCCCCATCCAGACTGTGCCGTGCCCCTGCAACTACCTCCCATCACCATGAGAGCGCTGTGCCTCGTCCTGCTGGGCCTACCAGGTGAGTGCCAAGGCCCAAAGCAGCCCCACACTTTGGGGGCACTGTGGGCTCCAAAATATTTTGTCCTCCCTCCCCAGCGCTCCTGGTCCAGGGCCAGTACAGCAGGTTTGAGGGCATTACCTACCCAGAGCCAGTGCAATACTCCCAGTACGACCAGCAGGCAGGTGAGAGCCTTCATCCCCCTCCTCTTCCTCGCAGCTTTGCTTTCCTTAATCCCTTTTTCCACGCTCTGCTCCATTCCCTTTTCCACCCCAACCTTCCCATTGCTCCCAGTCCCCACGGGCTGTGTGATAACACAGAGAAAACCCGACATCCTTACGCTCCGTTTTCTCCCTTTTTTTTCTTTTCCCCCAGAAATTCAGGATTACTACGACTACCACGGTGAGTGCAGCCCTGGGGCAGGCTGGGGGCTGGGGTTGCACATCCTCACTGCTCTGTCCCCACAGATGTGACCCCACGCACCCCAGAGGAGCAGTTTCGCTTCCAGTCCCAGCAGCAATCCCAGCAGGAAGTTGTGCCAGCACCAACCGTGGGTGGGTGCAAAACAGCGACCACATCCCCCCCCATAACCTTCCAGCACTGCCCCGACCCTAAAACCTGACTGGGGGACAGTGGGATGCTCCCTATGCTCAACCCTAAAGCTTTGCTCTTCCTCCCATCAGCTGCTGCCCCTGAGACTGAGCCCACAGAGCCCGGACCTCTGGGTGAGTGTGGCTCTCACCACTCTCCTCCTGACACAAATATGGTGCAACTTGGTGATCCCCCACCCGTGCATCCCCCCCATGGTTTCATCCTTCCTCCGGGGGGGTAGGAAATGATGCAATGCTGAACGCAACCCCAGCGCTCGTGGATTTTTTTCCCCTTTATCTGAACCCGCTTGCATTTTTGGGGTGAAACAACAACACAAAAGCAGCTCTGGCTCTCATTGCAGACTGCCGGGAGGAGCAGTACCCCTGCACCAGGCTCTACTCCGTCCACAAACCCTGCAAGCAGTGCCTGAATGAGATCTGCTTCTACAGGCGAGCGCAGGGGCTGTCCCCTCCCCACCATCCCCATTGGCACGGTACCACATTTGGGTTTTTTTTCACCCCAAACCATCCTTTACCCCACAGCCTCCGCCGGGTTTACGTGATCAACAAGGAGATCTGCGTCCGCACCGTGTGCGCCCACGAAGAGCTGCTGAGGGGTAAGGACTCATCCATCAAAATCAGGGACATCCCCACCCATCGTTGGGTACCACCGAGGAGGATGCTGATGGTTAAACACAGCAGAGCCACGCTCTGCATTCCCAGTCGACACCAATTTAAGTGCAGCGGTGGCGGCTGCTGGAAGAGAGTTGTGTTTCCATCTCCCTGCAGCCGACCTGTGCCGTGACAAGTTCTCCAAGTGTGGTGTGATGGCCACCAGTGGGCTCTGCCAGACCGTGGTCACCTCCTGTGCCCGTAGCTGCGGGGGTTGTTGAAGCCCCCACCTCGCCGGGATGCAGCCCGGCTCCTCCACCTGGTGCTATAAAGGAACCGTGCATGAAAGGCCAAAGAAAAAGTCCGGTTTGGTGCACATAAAAATAAATAAGGGTTGGGGGAGGGGTTTGGAGGGAGGGGGGGGGTTGTTATTATTTTTATTACTTTTGTTATTATATTGTAAGTCGGGGGAGGGGGGGTTGTTTGCTGCGTAGAGTATCCAAGAGAAAAAGCGTAAGGGTTGCTGTGGCTCCTGTCTCTTTCTTTTTGGGTTTCCCGTTGGTGTGGGGTTGTTGGTGATGCTCCTTGAATAGAGCGGAGCTGGGCTGTAGGATTTGGGGGCGCTTTGGGGATTTGCACGGTTGAGTGTTTTGCTTGAAATAACACTGCATCATTTGGGGCAGTTTGGGTTTTTCCTAGGAGAAAGGGTGCAGCTTTGGGGTTTGGGGTGGCTGTCCCCAGTTCCCACATGGGGAATGGCGTGCATTCAGCCTATGCAGTGTTCTGATGTTGAACTGAAGGCAGTTTTGGGGTTCTCTGAGTGGAAAGGAGGGGGATTGGTTTACTACGTTCAATCCAGCTTGTAGTTTTCAGAGGATACAGTCATCTTCTATAGTGTGTGTTATACTAACAGCATATAGGTCATGTAATAATGATGCTAATAAATGTTATGGGGCCTGATGGGCACCAATTTGAGCAGCCGGTTCCCAAACCCTCCACTCCCAACCCCAATAAGTATCACCAGGTTGGCTTTCCATACATTTAATGGAGGGTTAGAGGGGATATACAAGGGTTGGGGCCACGTTGGGTTGGCCCATAGCACCGATATCAAACCAGTCTTCAAAAAGAGCAGTAGAAAAGAGAGGACCCCCCCTGTGCCATGTGGGACCCAGGAGTAGGGATGCTTACCCTGGTCAGCACCAGTCTGGGGAGCCCCAGACGTCCATGTGGGCTAAAAAACGTCCTATTTCCAAATATTGGTTATAGAAATGCCATAGAAAAAGGAGGGGGGAAAAAAATCAAGCTGTATCAAAAATAGACAGTGGTGGCTCGGGGGGTAAAGTGCTGCTCTTGATCAAGAAAAATAAGTGGGATTTGGGAACGTTGAGCAGATTTTTGGTGAGCTGCACGGTGCTGCTCTCAGCCCTAAATGCTGCGAGGGTGACGGCGAGACTCCTGTGCCCCCCACTGCTGTGCTGGTGGCTTCTGTGCAGCCCCAGAGCTCTGCTCCAGCGCTGAGACCTGCGCCTGGGGTGGGGGGGGGAGAACGGAGGGGTCACCCCAAAGAAAAACCCAGCAGCATCCCAGTGCGTGCAGCAGCATCTCCACGCAATGGGATGAGCCCCAAAGCAGCCCAGCTCCACCACCGTGCAACCTAAGGTGCAGGCAGCACCCCGGGGCCACCCGCCTGCAGCACTTGAATGCGTCGCTGTGCCTCTGCCAGCTGCTGCTCTGATGTGCCCAGAGAGCGGTCCAGGCGGCCCTTCTGCAGAGCCAACCTCAGCGAGGCTTCATGCGTCTTCAGCTTCTCCCTCTCCACCTGCGTAAGGATGCAAACCGTTGCTCTGTTGCACGCCTTGCTCTGGTGCAGAACAGCAACGCATGCGTGCACGCTGTGCTGAGCTGCACGCCTTGCTCCTGTGCACAGCACACACACAAATATGCATGCACGTGTGCATTGCTGCAAGCATTGCCCCAGTGCACGATATATGTGTATATGCGTGCACGCGTGTTGTTGCATGCCTTGCTCCAGTGCACAAAATATATGTGTGCATGCACAATTGCACTGCTGCACGCCTTGCTCTGGTGCACAAAATATATGCATGCATGCACACGTGCACTGTTGCGTGTCTTGCTCCAGTGCACAGAATGTGTGCATGCACGCAGCTTTGCTCTGCTGCACAAAATATATGGATGCATGCACGTGCTGTGCATCATTGCACACCTTGCTGCAATGCACTTAATATATATACACATGCATACGTGCACCTGTATGTTGCACTTGCTCCTTGCTCTGGTGCACTATATATATATACACACATGTATTCACGTGTGCATGCTATGCTTTGTTGTACACCTTGCACAACACACACGTACAAATACATGTTTGCACACACAGTGTGCAGAGCAGAGAGACGTGCATCATTTATATCATGCATGCTTCACTCCTGGAAAACAACACTGCAGTTTTATAGCTCCAGCACTGAGGCTGCACATCGGTGCCCACCCAAGGGTGCAGGGCAGGGCGGTGGGTGCTCACCTTCTCCAGGGTTCTTTTCAGGGCACAGTTATCCTTTTCAAGGCGCAAGGCGCAGCGCTCAGCCTCACGCCGTTCAGCCTCCAGCTGGGTCACAGCACGCTGCAGGCTGCCCACACGTTCCTGCAGCCCCCGCTGCTCTGCCCTCAGCCCCCCCAGCACCGCCGCCTCCTCCTTGTCCTGCTGCTGCTGTGTCTGCAATGGGAGCAAGGCTGTAGGATGCTGCATGGAGTTATGGGGTGTGCACGGGGTGATAGGGTATGATGCGGGGCTATAGGTTGTTGCACAGGGTGATAGGGTGATGCATGGGGCAATAAGATGCTGTGTAGGCAGTAGGGTGCTGCATGGGGCAGTAGGGTGCTGCATAGGGTAACGGTGCTGCAAGGGGTGGTAGGGTACTGTTCAGGGTAAGAGGGTGATGCATGGGTCAGTACGGTGATGCATAGGGTAATAGGGTGCTGGAAGGGGTGGCAGGGTACTGCACAGGGTAATGGGGTGATGGATGGGCCAATAGGGTGATGCACAGGGTAATAGGGTGCTGGAAGGGGTGGCAGGATACTGCATAGGGTAATAGGGTGATGCATGGGGCAATAGGGTGATGCACAGGATAATAGGGTGCTGGAAGGGGTGGCAGGGTGGTGATGCATAGGGTAACATGGTGTTGCAAGGAGTGGTAGGGTACTGCACAGGGTAATAGGGTGATGCATGCGGCAGTAGGGTGATGCACAGGGTAACAGGGCGATGCAAGGAATGGTAGGGTGCTGCACAGGGAAGTGCATGGAGCTACAGAGCAACGCATGGGCTAACAGGGTGCTGCACGGCCGAGTAAAAAGAGCTGCATGGGGGGGCTGTGTGGATCACAGTTAGGACAGCTGCCGTTGCTTTCCCACCTCCTGCAGCCGCCGGACCTGCGCCTCCAGCTCCTCTCTGCGCAGCTCCAGCACTGCACGCTCCTCCTGCAGCGCCCGCAGCTGCTCCCGCAGCACCCCGCGCTCCTCCCGTGCAGCATCCAGCATCTCCTGCACGGGGACGTGCATGGTGACACAAGGCCAGACGGGTCCCCACTGCACCCCGAGGTGCTCCTGCACACCTGCAGTGCCCGGCGGTCGAGCTCGCCCGCAGCCAAGGCAGTCTGCAGCTTCTGCAATCGCTGCTGCAGGGCTGTGCTGGTGTTGGCCCCCGGCGTGCCTTGTGCATGGTCCTTGGCTGCCAGCAGTGCACTCAGCTTCTCCTGGAAGAGAGAGAGCAGGGCGTGCAAGCTGGTTTCAGGCACGAAATCAGCATGAATGCAAGATTTCAGGTTGCGTGCACGTGCAAGCAGCACTCATGCAGTTTGCGTACAAGTTTGCAAGCACCTTGTGCCCAGTTTGCCAGCATGCAAGCAGCTTACATCCAGTTTGCATGCATTTTGTACGCAAGGCTCCAGGCAGTTTGTAGGCAGCTTGCTGGAAGCTTGTACAAAGCATACGTGCAATTTTTACACACCTTGCACTCAACCTTCCTTGCACCTCACATGCAGTTTAATGCAACGTGCACACAATTTGCCCGCATCTTGCATGCGATTTGCACGCAGCTTGCATGCAGCCTGTATGCAAGGCAGCAGAAAGCCTGCTCAGGGAGGGAGAGGAGGGTTTTTCCCCTCGGTGCCCACCTGGGCAGCCCGGCGCTCGCCCTCAGCAGCGTGCAAGCTGCGTTCCAGCGCTGACACCTTCTCGAGCAGCAGCCGGCGCTCGCCCTCGCCCTGCTTCAGCATCTCCTCCTGCAGCAGCAGTGCTGCCTGCTTGCCTTCGGAGCCCTGCCACCCTGCCACAGCCAGAGCGGGGCTTGCAAACCTCTGTGCTTTTGAGGCATGCACTGGGGTTGATGGGGCATGCACAAGGAGGGGGCTGACTGCTCGTAATAGGGTTGAACCAGTTACCGGGGTGTAGAGGTTTAGTTGCTTCTATGGGGTTTCTTTTATCTTTCTATTATGATTTGGGGGAAATGTGCAGCACTTGAGTGCAGCGCCATCACCCCACCCCACAATCTGTCACCCTCACAGCCCCACAACGTGCCCACATCCCGAGCAGCCAAACGCTACAGGGAGGCAGTGATGCTCCTGGGCAGCACCCAGCCCCACACCACTGAGGGAAACCCACCCCAAAACTGCCCCATCACCTTCCTTGCTCTCAGCCAATCGCTTCTGCAGCTGCAGTGCTCTGTCCCGCTGTGCTTCTGCCTCGGCCAGCTGCTTGCTCAGGCTGCACACCCGCACCTGCAGCTCTTCCTGGGGGAGAAAATGGGGTGAGAAAGGCGTATTTTGGGGATGCACACCTCTGGGATGGGGTGAGGGGTGTACCTTATCCCGCTGGGCATCCTGCAGCTGGCGCAGCAAGTCCTGCAGGGCTGCACGAACTGCCTCGGGATCAGCTGCTGCACTGGGGTCTGGGGGTGAGCAGGGGGTGCGTGTCCCTTTCCTGGGTCCAGCTGGAAGAGAGGGGACAGGGAGGGATGGCAGGAGATAAGGTGGGACAAGGACAGGGTAGGATGAGAGAGATGAGGTGGAATGGGGAGTGATTGGAGGGGATGCAGAGGGATGAGAGGGATGGGGTGGCATGGGGAAGGTCAGGAGGGGATAGAGTGGCATGGGAAGAACAGTGGGATGAGAGGGATGGGGTGATATGGGAGAGAGTGGCACAAGAGGAACAGGATGATGCATGATGGACACTGCCACAGGAGGGGACAGAATAGGACAAGGGGGAACAGAATGGATTGGGAAGGGGCAGGGTGGCACGGGAAGGATGCACAGCTGGATGGAGCACCCAACATCCACCCCAGTGCCCCCCACACCCAGTGCCATCCTCACCCTTGCCTGGAGAGCCTCCATGTGCCCATCCAACACCGACAGTGCAGCGCAGGGCTGAGCTCAGCCCACTCAGCCGCATCTCAGCATCACGTCGCCGCTCCTCACCCCGTGCCAACTCAGCCTCCAGCCCTTGTGCCCGACCCTCGGCTGCGCTCAGCTTCAAGCTCAGCTCTGCTGCCTCACTGCGTGCTGCCTCTGCCTTCAGCCGCAGGTTGCGGGCATCAGCCAGCAGCTTCTTCTCATGGCCTCGAGCGTCCTCCAGGCTGCGGGACAGCGCGTGCTCCCGTTGCTGGAAATCTGCCTCCTTC